GGAAATTAAACAACATGCTACTGAACAACCAATGTGTCATTGAAGAAATTAAAAAAATAAAATTTTTCTTGAAACAAAGAAGAAAATACAATATATCAAAACCTGTAGGATACAACAAATGCATATTAAGAGAGAAGTTTATAACATTAAATGCTTCATTAAAAAAGTAGACAGTTTGAAAACAAATGATCTAATGATGCGTCTCAAGGATGTGGAAATTCAAGAACAAACAAACCTTAAAATTAGCAGGAGGTGAGAAATAATGAGGATCAGAGTATAAATATGTGAAATTGAAAAAAAAAACAAAAAATACAAAAGTTCAACAAAATAAAAAGTCTTTTTAGAGAAGAGAAACAAAATAGACAAATCTTCTGCTAGAATAACCAAGAAAAATTGGAAAATGCAAATAAATAAAATTAAAGGTAATAAAGAAAACATTACAACTGATATCACTGAAATAAAAAGAATCATAAGAAAGTACTATGGGCAACTATGTGCTAATAAATTGGAAAGCCTCAAAGAAATAGATGAACTCCTGGAAACATATAACCTAATGATTAAATGAAGAGAATACAGTAAATCCAATCAGAAGCTAACAAGCAACAAGACTGAAGCAATAATTAAGAATCTCCCATCAACAAATGGTTTTACTACTGAAATCTATAAAAACATTTTATAAATTATGGAAATAAATTTTATTTTTAATTCAGAAGTAAAAAAATTCATAAAACTTTAAATAAATTCTAAGCAACATAGTTGATGCTAAGTTTACCTTGCACAGCACTATTTTCCTCTCTGGAAATACTCAAATACAGAGTAAAGGATGTTTGCTTGTAACAAGTTCTGTGATTAATAAAATTGTCATTTTGAAACACTGAGTTATATATCAAGTTAACCTATCTCTTGGGAGAAAAACACAATCAAAATCATTGGTGATCTAATCTTTAGTTCTGTCTCCACAGATAAAACCTATCACTTTTCACAATGAGAAAGGAATAAAACATATGTAACTGGAAAATATTAACATCAAGAAATGATCTTCCTTTAACAACATAAATTAAATATTTCTGTCACTTGGCAGGATTTTTTAAGAGCCTTCTTCAGGAGAACAGACTGTGTCAACAAGATCTTGGATGCTAATTACCACTTTCCACAAGGGGAAATCACTACAAATTTACTTTCTGGAAAATAAAAATTTATGGATCCATAGCAAGGAACAGAAAGAAAGAAAAAGGAAAAATACTCATCACCGCTAATTACTTACATTATTTTTCCTCTGTGGAAATGCTTTTCTTTCTCTAGAAAAATCAACAGTTACACAGATTTAACCTTTAGCAGCAATGGATTACAAACTTGACCCAGACTAAATAATCAATATTCCTTATGGTTTAGCAATGTCTTATTAAATAACCGAAGAACTCTGTTATATTGTTTTCTCTTATTGATAAAAATGAAAATTGATATTGAGTATGATAAGGAACTTCAAAAACTCTCTCAAAAGGTAAGAAAAGCCATAATATGAACATATTTCTGTCTGATTCCAGAGTTTATGGTAAATCACACTGGTTTGAGCTGAAATTCATAAAAGTAAGGGGATGTGACTTTTAAGTTATAAATTTGGACGTAACAGTGATTAGAAAGCCATCACCCTTCACTAATTTTCATACGAATTTTCACACATACACATGTGAATATGTGTATGTGTTTATGTGTGAATAACAGTTGTACCTCTTTATACAATTCATCAACATCCATAGATCCAATTTCACATTTGTCACTGCTTCATATTTCATTAATTTGTACACTTCCACACCATATACCTAATACTTTTGAAGTATAGAATATGTCTTTTCACAGTGCCATCTGCAATCTTGCTTCTATGGCTAGTCCTTCCCCCTCTTCATTTTTGTGGATATATGCAGAATCAATATGGCAGAACCCAGCTTTTACAGCTAATTTGGTGGCTTCATTGCTTCACTTTTAGAAATCTAGAGGAGAAAACAAGACTAGTAACTGTATATCAATGTGATGAGAGGTACTTCAGTCAGAATTAGTGACCTTCACAAGGATCAATTTTACCTATGCCTTGAGATATTCCTGCATCTGGGATTATGAATTCATACCAGTTTGCTTTGTCTTTCCTGCTTAATCACAATAATGAGGGATGCCAAGAACCTCTGCTGTCCTAAGCCATCACTTATCACTGGAATTGAATTCCCCAGGAACACCTCAAGTACAGTAGTTTCCTGGAAAAACTCACAGCCCAAAACCTTATTAGATAATGATGAGGAGTCTAAATTCCTAGATGACAGCTACAGATCAGTTTGAAAAGAGGCAATCCAACCAACTGACAGGCAGACAGAGAGCTTCCATCTTCTGCTTCATTCTTGATATTCTTGCAATAACCAGTGTTGTTCCATGCTGAATCTAATAGCCAGAACCTTAATCCAGATCTCTCACATGAGTGGTATGGATCCAATGCCATAAGCTATCACATTCCACATTTCAGGGTCTGCATTAGCAGGAAGCCAGAACCAAGAGCCAGAGTCAAGACTCAAATCCAGGTGTTCTGAGACAGGTCAGTCCTACCTGACATCTTAACTACTAGTTCAAATTCCTTCTCATGATCAGAGATTTATTTTTATACTTATTCAATCACATTACTCATTGTTCTTTGCAGGCTTTCTGTCTTCATGATTACATTTTGATAGGTTATATTGTGTTTTTCAATTTGTTGGTAAATTCTTGTTTGTAATAGTAATTAATTTTATGTGGCATCAGTTGTTATACCTTCTTTTTGACTCTAATTTTATTTATTTGAATTTTGTGTCTTTTTCTCTTTGTTAATCTAGTTAGTGGTTTATTGGTTTGTTTACATTTTCCAAAAAAAAAAAAAAAACAGAAAAACTCAGAGCTGGCATAGTGGCACAGCGGCCCACAGTAAAGGGCTGACTTGAGTCCCAGCTGCTCTGCTTCTGAGATCCCTGCTAATGTACATGGGAAAACATTGTAAGACGGCCTAAGTAGTTGGATGCCTGCCACTCACATGGGCGATCCAGATGAAGTTCAATGATCCTGGCTTTGGCCTGGCCCAACCCCAGCTAGTGCTCTCTCTCTGTCTCTGTTTCTCTCTCTCTGTCTCTGTTTCTCAGTCTCTCTCTCTCTCCCTCTCTCTCCCTTCTCCAATCTCTCTGTCATGTGCCTTTCAAAATCTTATAAGTAATGACTTTTTTATTATTTTGAAAAAATTTTCTATTCATTTTGCATATCTCTGTCCTTTTCTTCCTTTTTGTTTCCTATTTGTGCTTTGTTGATTTTTTTGTGTTGGTAAGGTTTGAATCTTTTCTATTTTTTTTGTATGTCTATTCTGATGGATTTTATGTTTCCCCATGCTTGCATTAAGTTAATTATCTTTCTTTGGCTTCTGTATAAAGGAATCCCCTAAACAGCTTCTATTAGGCCAATCTGTGGTTATTCCCTGCTTTTCCCATGAGAGTATTTCAGGCATGGAAAGCCAAGACACTCTGGCCAAAAAAAAAAAAAACTAACTGAAAAGGGATCCCTGTTAGGAATTTGGAAAACATTATACTGAGTGTAATAAGCCAATCCCAAAGGGACAAATACCACTTGTTCTCCTTGATAGGTGACAACTAACAGCACCAAAAACGAAACCTGTTAAAGTGAAATGAACACTATGAGAAACGGGGACTTGATCAGCCCTCATCCTGACTGTTGATGAGCAACTTGATATGTTATCCCTCTTAGTATTTTTGTTTGTTTGTTCTACTTTATACTTTTGGTTGAATACTGTAATCAATACACAGTTATTCTTAAGTGCTGAAACTTAACTGAAAAGTGATTGCTGCTAAATATAAGAGTGGGAATAAGAGAGGGAAGAGATGTGCAATTCGGGACATGCTCAAGCTGACTTGCCTCAAATGGTAGAGTTAGAAACATACCAGGGGATTCCAGTTCAATCCCATCAAGGTGGCATGTACCAATGCCATCTCACTAGTCCCAGTGATCAATTTCTGTTCACAATTGATCATAATGATAGGACTAAGAGACAAAGGGATCACATAAACAAAAATAGTGTCTGCAAATACTAGCTGATAGAATCAAAAAGGGAGAGAATGATCCAACATGGGAAGTGAGATACACAGCAACCCATAGAATGGCAGATGTCCTAAACAGCACTCTGGCCTCAGAATCAGCCCTTAATGCATGTGGATCCAGCTGAAAAGCCCATGAGAGTATTTCAGGCATGGAAAGCCAAGACACTCTGGGGAAAAAAAAAAAAAAACCCTAAATGAAAGATCTGCGAGTGAGATCCCAGTGGAAAGAATGGGTCATCAAAGAAGGAGGTACCTTTCTCTGAAGGGAGGAGAGAACTTCCACTTTGACCATGGCCTTGTCTAAAAATTATCAGAGTCAGTGAACTCAAGGGGCTTCCATAGCCTTGGCAGCTCATGACAAGAGCCTAGGGTGATTACTGAGGCCATAAACAAGAGTGTGAATTTGTTAAGTCAACAACAGGAGTCACTGTGCACTTACTCCTCATGTAGGATCTCTGTCCTTAGTGTGCTGTACATTGAGATTTAACGCTATAACTAGTACTCAAACAGTATTTTTCACTTTATATTTCTGTGTGGGAGCAAACTGTTGAAATCTTTACTTAATGTATGCTAAACTGATCTTCTGTATATAAAGAGAATTGAAAATGAATCTTGATGTGAATGGAAGGGGAGAGGGAGTGGGAAAGGGGAGGGTTGCGGGTGGGAGGGACGTTATGGGGGGGAAACCATTGTAATCCATAGTCTGTACTTTGGAAATTTATATTCATTAAATAAAAGTTTGAAAGCAAAAAAAAAAAAAAAGAAAAAAAAAGAAATGTAAACTGACTCTAATTCTGTTCTATTTTGTGGAATATTGCTTTAAACTTGCTCCTCCTACATGTCATTGCTTCACCTCTGGATAGGTACTTGGGACGTTTCCTGCTTGTGTTTCATATAATCTGTGAAGGCAGAAGAGAGAACGAGCATTTGTTTGATTAGAGTAACAAGTTATGGATCTCAAACATCACTATCTGGAACTAAATGATGGTCATTTCATTCCCATTCTGGGATTTGGCACCTATGCACCCAAAGAGGTAAAAATAGTGTCTTGGATTTGAGAGTTTATAAGGAAATAGACTGAGAGCATGTGGAAGGTGAAGTAGCTTGTCACACATATGCTCCTGTGTGACTCTCGGGTCTCAGTTGGTTGGTAGTTTCACCAGGCCAGAGGTAGCCCATGTTGAGTCCAAGGTGAGAAGCAATTTAGTCAGATTTCATTTTGCATTGTGGAGTATTCATACGGACACCCACAACTACTGTGGAGACTGGCTTATTCTTTGGTTTCAGTCTATGCCTTAATTTAGCAGAAGAGATGAAACTCAGGAGTAAAGAATACCATAAGTTCACTTGCTTGGAGGTTGAGTGCAAATGGATTGATCTTGCTGTTTATAATATATAAGTTATATATAATCTTTATATAATCTAAGAAATATTTCCTCTTTCCTAGTATATTTTATCCAGAAAAATATTATAAAAGTTACTGGCAATCTAGTGTGGGAAAAATTGTAGGAAACTATTGTACTGTGGGGTAGTTTTGATCACCATACAGTAAATACTAGGCCTGGGCACAAAAACTGAAACTCATAGCATTAAATCCCTCTATAATTGGCACTAATTAATTTATGAATTCAGATCCCTTGTGACCTAAACACTTAGTCACTCTTGTGCATCTGTAATTACATTTCTACCACATGCTTTTTGGAAAACACTTTCCAACCATAGCATGAATCACTAATTTTTAAATGTTATTCTAATTTTGGCTTTCCCAAAAGAAGAACCACAATTTTCTGGACTGACATCAACTTTATGGGATCTCTTACAGCTTTTTTGTGTGTGTAAAACTATATCCTTTGAGTATATTTCTTTACTCCTAGTGTTCAGTTCTGTTATTCTGTTAGAGAGAATGACTATCTAAAAAAGAGTTAACTTAATTGACTACTATTCATAGATGTATTTATTTTAAAATTTCACCTGGTTGGATTTGGGGAACTTGAAATTCTCACTGCTTTCTAACTGATTAATGATGATGACTATATATTTACTAGCTGTATCAACAGTTGAGTTTGTGTCTGCCTACTTTCCTTTGGAACTGGAATTTTTGAATATAATAGAAAAGGATGTTATGAAACCAATCTCAGATAAAAAGTTTAGAAATTGAATCTCTAAACAGATTTTTTTTTTTTTTTGACAGGCAGAGTGGACAGTGAGAGAGAGAGAGACAGAGAGAAAGGTCTTCCTTTTGCCGTTGGTTCACCCTCCAATGGCCGCCGCGGCCGGCGCGCTGCGGCTGGCGCACCGCACTGATCCGATGGCAGGAGCCAGGAGCCAGGTGCTTTTCCTGGTCTCCCATGGGGTGCAGGGCCCAAGCACTTGGGCCATCCTCCACTGCACTCCCTGGCCACAGCAGAGAGCTGGCCTGGAAGAGGGGCAACCGGGACAGAATCCGGCGCCCCGACCGGGATTAGAACCTGGTGTGCCGGCGCCGCTAGGCGGAGGATTAGCCTAGTGAGCCCTGGCGCCGGCAACAGATTTTCTTATAGATAATACTTCATATTTATCATCAAAATTCAATGTTGTGGGCTGGCATTGTGGTACAGTGGATTAACCCACTGCTTGTCACATTATCATCCCATATCAGAATGCTGAATTGAGTCTTGGCTACTCTTCTTGTGATCCAGCTTCTAGCTGATGTGATTTGGAATGCAGTGGATGATACCTCAAGTGTTTATGCTTTGGCCTGGCTCAGACCTGGCTGCTGTGGCCATTTGGAGAGTGAACCAGAGGATGGTAGATCTCTCTCTCTCTCTCTCTCTCTCTCATTCTCTCTCTTACTCTGCCTTTCAAATAAATAAATAAATAAATATATCTTTTAAAAAGTATTCAATGTTAGGGGAATTTAATATGTTCTACATAGCTTTACTGGGAGAGAAGTCATTGCATTTTGCATTGGAAGTGTTCTCTGTTCTTTGCATGTTCCTTTCTCTTGTATTAATTTTACTTTGTAACTGCACTTTACAAATAATAGCCAAGATTGAAACTGTTTTCTTAGTCCTGTGAGTCCTTTCAACGAATCACTGAACATGGAATATTTAAGGAATTCTGATGCCAGGGGTCAGCCAGTAATTGCTTGGGACTGAAGGGATTCCGAGGATGCCCAACCTTTATTTGCAACTAGAAAAGACCCATGAAAACTTGGATGGACTTATCAACACACATTCATATCTTTCCCAAGACATGAGGAAAAGCTGATTTTTGTGAAGGTTATTATTTCTGTACGAACTGCCTCTTAATTATGTTAATCTTTATATACTACTTTAGGTTCCTAAGAGTATGGCTAGAGAAGCCACTAAATTAGCAATAGAAGCTGGCTTTCGTCATATTGACTCTGCATATTTGTACCAGAATGAAAAGGAGATTGGACTGGCCATCCAAAGTAAGATTGCAGATGGTACTGTGAAGAGGGAAGATATATTTTATACTTCAAAGGTACTGTGTATATGGTATGTTTGTGTGCATACTTTTAATTTGACTGTATGGAGATGACAATTATATGATTTGATCAGTAGGTGTGGTGAATTGTGCTTACTAGTACAACTTTTATTGACACATGTTAATGGTTTTATCATCATTGGGCCATATAAATTTATGATTAATATAAAGTTATTTACTCTTCTGCATCTCAGATTATAATAGTATGATCTACTATGGACCATAAAATCAGTCAAAATTGTGATTGGATTATGGCTTTCCTTATCTCTCAGCTGATTTTCTTTTCTTTTTTTTAAGCCATTTAATTTTTTTTAAAGATTTTTTTTATTTGAAAGATAGACTTACAGAGAGAGGTAGATCCAGAGAGAAAGAGAGAGGTCTTTCATGCACTGGTTCACTCCTCAAATGACTTCAACTGCCAGAGATGAGCTGATCCGAAGCCAGTAGTCAGGAGCTTCTTTTGGGTCTCCTGTGTGGGCACAGGGGCCAAGGACTTGGGCCATCTTCTACTGCTTTACCAGGCCATATCAGAGAACTGAGTCAGAAGTGGAGCAGCCAGGACTCTAACCATATGGGATGCTGGTGCTGCAGGCTGGGGATTTACCCCACTGTGTCAAGGTGCCAGCCTCCAAGCTGATTTTCTAAAACTTCTTAACATTGTGAATTCCAATTTTCAATTTGGACAATAAGAGAAAATAGGAACCAGTTTTATGGTGCAGTATGTTAAGCTGCGCCTGCAACACTGGCATCACTTATGAGAGTGCTGGCTCAAGTCTTGGTTGTTCCACTGCTGATTCAGCTTCCTGATCATTTGTTGGGAAAGGCACAAATGAAGGATCAAGTAAATGTGTTTCTGTCACCCATGTAGGAGACCAGGATGGAGTTCCTGGCTCCTAGCTTTGGCCTGGCCCAAACAAGCTATTGTGGTCATTTAGGGAAAGAGAACATCTTATTGTCCTTGCCTGTCACTCTGCCTTTCAAATATTTAGAAGAAGAGAAATTAATATAGGAAAGTCCTTTAGGCATTTAATAAGACATGGCTAATGCATCTTGAATAGTGTGAAGCACATATTAACACCTTCTAAATATTTTCTTTCAGTTATGTATGACAAAGACATACTAATTCTTCCCTTTTGAATTGATGAGAGGATTAGACTAAGCTTATGGACTATTCTGTAAACTAAAATATAACTCTGTTAATAGTCATTATTACTATTGATAGAAAATTTTATGTTTTAAGTCATTTCCTTACCATTTCAGTAGATATACTAATTTATATCCATCATATAAAAACGTTTACAGTAGTTATCCTTATACATAGTTTTGCTCTTGGTGATTTCAATTATCCCTGGTATAGAAGAAGAAGAAAAGTCAGTAGAACAATAAGATACTGAGAGAGAGATATCACATCCAAATAAGTTTTATTAGAATATATTATTATGGGGCCGGCACCGTGACTCACTTGGTTAATCCTCCGCCTGCGGCACCAGCATCCCATATGGGCACCCGGTTCTAGTCCCAGTTGCTCCTCTTCCAGTCCAGCTCTCTGCTGTGGCCCGGGAGGGTAGTGGAGGATGGCCCAAGTGCTTGGGCCCCTGCACCAGAATGGGAGACCAGGAGGAAGCACCTGGCACCTGGCTTCAGATCGGCGCAGCGTAGTGGCCATTTGGGGAGTGAACCAATGGAAGGAAGACCTTTCTCTCTGTCTCTCTCTCTTACCATCTATAACTCTGCCTGTCAAATAAATTAAAAAAATTATAATTGTTTTATTTTCGATTCTTATTTGTGCCTAGTTTAAATTTTACTTTATCTAAAGCATGTATGTATGGTTCAAAACTGTAGTACATAGGCATTCAGTGTGTTTTTAAGTGTCCAGTGGGGATTTTGGAACATATCTCCCATGGATAACGGGGTACTTTTGTAAGTGGGTAGGTTATTTGAAAAGAAACACAAGAAGAGGAGTGTTTTTTTTTCCACAGGCAGAGTTAGACATTGAGAGAGAGAGAGAGAGAGAGAGAGAGAGAGAGAGAAAGGTCTTCCTTCCTTTGGTTCACCCCCCAAATGGCCACTACGGTTGGCATGCTACAGAGATCCAAAGCCAGGAGCCATGTGCTTCCTCCTGGTCTCCCATGTGGGTGCAGGGCCCAAGCACTTGAGCCATTGAAGAGGAGTGTTTTTTTATAACTTGTATTACTCATGGTCAATTACTAGAAAAATGTCTCTCTGCTAGGTGATACAAATCAACAAGGCTGACTATTTATTCCAAATTCTATTCTTTAACTTCTTCAGCTTTGGTGTACTTTCCATCTACCAGAGATGGTCCAACCGACCTTGGAAAGGTGCCTGAAAGAAGTACAGTTGGACTATGTTGACCTATATCTTATTCATTTCCCAACACCTTTGAAGGTATGCAATTTGTATGCTCCAAATAGTTCAGTCATAATGTCAGCATGACCCTCCTTCACATGGACAGTTGAATTAAAATTTGTTTTTTGGAGTATGGAGAGATTACTGCCCAGGAGCAGAATCCTAAAGAGTAATTCTTGATTCCATTTATTTAGCAATTTTGAATTCTTTATTCCCTACTCTATGACTTCAAGAAAGTTTGCAATAACCTTGAAGTCTTTGTGTCAAAAATTTGAGAAAATAATAGCCTTGACACATACTGGTTATGGCTCCGTAGTCTCTTAGGCATGTTCACAGACAAAGAGCTGTGTGAAGCTGTGAACAACAAACCAGCACACAGGGTGCACAGAGGGGCTCCATCATCTCTCGTCATTTTAAGCTGACAATTTTGATGGTTCTCAGTCTATGTGTGTCTGTAACTAGCAGCCTTAAGGGACTCAAGAAACCTTGTTTCTCCTGTTGATTATCCTCATGATAGAGTTATGTAGATGGCACTTAGTCGTTAGTAACTGATGTCTGACATAAAGCTAAAGAAAAACCTCAAGTTAATTTACACTAAAGGGCTTAGTGCATTGTGTAATTTGAAAGCCTTAAGAATTTGAAATAGCCTTTAAAAATATTTCTTTTTATCTGTTCATTACTTCTGCATCACAAGTTTGATTTGATTTTTTTTCACATATTTTATCATGTATGGAAAATATTTACCCCACAGGCAGTTTGACGTTCATGTTCTGTAATTCTTGAGACTTTTTCTGGCTTTCTAACATCCAAATTTATCTTGAAAAGGGCTTTGATTGACTTCACGTTGTTCACTTGTATGTTCTTGTACTACCTCCTATATGCTGAGGGGGATAAGAAACTTTGCTTGCCTGGGTCATGACTACAATTGATTACTGCTGGATATCAAGACTGTGTAATTATTGCTTTTTACAATGAAAAAGTTTCATTTGTCTGGAGGAAACTATGGTTTAGGGACAGACAAAGTAATATCTGAAGCCATCAAATTAAAGGAAGGTTATTTTCTTTTTTTAAGATTTATTTTTTTTATTTTAAAGTCAGAGTTACACAGAGAGAAGGGAGGCAGAGAGTGAGAGAGAGAGAGAGAGGTCTTATTTTCAAAAAGACATATTACAACTCCATATGCAAAATATTTTACAAATATCAGTAGCTAGCATGTTGTAGTACCTGCCTCAGGAAAGTTCAATATCTAGATCCTAGATGTACCTGGTAGTGTGATTAACTGTGAATGCATGAACTCAATCTCATCATTAAAGTGACTATTTTGAATCCAGCCAGGAGAGGAGACTATACCACGTGATGAACATGGAAACCTGTTATATGACACAGTGGATATTTGTGACACCTGGGAGGTGAGTGCTTGGGGAAGACAACACAGAAGAGAAAGCCTGGGGAAACAGAATCGTGTAACATGTGCACCTGTAAGAGTGGGTAATGCTCTGCTGGATTTATGACAAAGGCTATTTTGTTGTGGCAGTGGAGAGGAATGCATTTCTGCTGTGTATCAGAGAGAAAAAGGAAAATCAGAAGCAATAGGGGAAGCTGTGTGCCTCCATTAGGAATAATTATGCATTTTTTCATAAACAGATCCAGGACATCTTTTTCCATCATTATCATCTTTATAAATATAACTAGGTTTTTTTTCAGGACAATCATTGCCACTGAACTTCATTGTCATTCCTGACAATGCTCCTTTTAACAGTCTATTTTAAATTTTTGCTGATCTATAGCCATCTACACAAATTATTCTTACCTGGCTTCTCCCCAGGCTATGGAGAAGTGCAAGGATGCAGGACTGGCCAAGTCCATCGGGGTGTCCAATTTCAACCGCAGGCAGTTGGAGATGATTCTGAACAAGCCAGGGCTCAAGTACAAGCCTGTCTGCAACCAGGTGAGCATTTTCAGTCTCCTTTCCTATTGATTTTCTTTTCTTTTTTTTAAAGATTTATTTTATTTATTTGAAAGTCAGAGTTACAGAGAGTAGAGACAGAGAGATCTTCCATCCACTGGTTCACTCCCCAGATGGCTGCAATGGTCAGTGCTGCGGCAATCTGAAGCCAGGAGCCAGGAGCTTCTTCCAGGTTTCCCACGTGGGTGCAGGGGCCCAAGGACTTGGGCCATCTTCTACTGCTATCCCAGGCCACAGCAGAAAGCTGGATCAAACGAGGAGCAGCCAGGACTAGAACCGGTGCCCATATGGGATGCTGGCGCTTCAGGCCAGGGCTTTCACTCTCTGTGCCAAAGCGCCGGCCTCTCCTACTGCTTTTCATTCCATCCTTTCTGTACTACAGTCACATGTCCATTTGTCCTCTTCTTCTATTTGTCTTATCTTTGAGGGACTGCTGATTCTGAGAACAGAACCTCTATGCAGGATGGAATGAAGGGTTCTTATTCTATCTGTGTTGGTAAAATGTTAGGGAAATGGAGAGAGACCTTAGTGCTGAATTTTGTTTAAAAATCTGGAGAGGTAAGTATGATCAACAAAAACTGTAGTCATTTATAAAACTTCAGGAAAAGTTAGAAATACCCCTGAGGTATGATGAATGATCAAAATCTAAATGGATGAAGGTCATATGAAGGGAACTGTGTATAGGAAAGACTAGATGGTACATAACCATAAAGAGAAAACAGGAGAAACACAGGGTATGTGTGGTGCCCAGATGGATGTGTCTTTCATCTTAGTATCTATTTCCACATGTATTTTATTTAAAAAGATTTATTTAGTTATTTGAAATCAGAGTTACACAGAGAGAGGAGGGGAGAGAGAGAGAGAGAGAGAGAGAGAGAGAGAGAAAGAGAGAGGTCCTCCATCAGATGGTTCACTCTCCTATTGACTGCAACAGCTGGAGCCGTGCTGATCCGAAGCCAGGAGCCAGGAGTTTCTTCTGGGTCTCCCGCCATCTTCTACTGCTTTCCCAGGCCATAGCAGAGAGCAAGATTGGAAGTGGAGAAGCCAGGTCTCGGACAGGCGTCCACATGGGATGCCGGCACTTCAGGCCAAGGTGTTAACCCGCTGTGCCACAGCACTGGCCCCTTTTCACATATCTTGATCAGAGGAAAGATAGAGGAAAATTTAACTGCAGATGCTGAGAGTCATACCGTTCGGAGGTAGGAAGCTATTTACTGATAGAGGTAGTAATAGTAAATGAAATCTAAACTCAGAAAATCTTAGGAAAACTTGAGATAACTCCGTGTCTGATAGCACACAAGTCTGCACCTTCTCTACGTTTTTTGCCATCAAATCAACTGTTTAAACACACCTATTCTGTGGCTGGTTCCGTACTGTAACTTACCTTCAAACAAGTTGGAATCATAGAGTAAGAATCCTCATTTTGAGAATATAGCTTACAAAATTCAAGAATTTGTTATAAAATTATTCAGTACCATGATTTTTTTCTTTCTTTTTTCTTTTTTTGACAGGCAGAGTTAGAGAGTGAGATAGAGAGAGACAGAGAGAAAGGCCTTCCTTTTTCTGTTGGTTCACCCCCCAAGTGGCTGCTATGGCTGGTGCATTGTGGCCGGCTGGTGAGCTCTTCCGATCCGAAGCCAGGGCCAGGTGCTTCTCCTGGTCTCCCATGCGGTTGCAGGTCCCAACGACCTGGGCCATCCTCTACTGCACTCCCTGGGCCATAGCAGAGAGCTGGACTGGAAGAGGAGCAACCAGGACAGAATCCGGCGCCCCGACCGGGACTAGAACTCTGGGTGCCGGCGCTGCAGGCAGAGGATTAGCCTAGTGAGCCACGTGCTGGCCCAGTACCATGATTTTTAAACATACATCCTGAAATGAATATAGTTTTACTATTGATTTTAGCACATTTATTGTGACAATTTTGAAACATTTAGAACATTTGGAAGAATCATAGTGAAAATCCGATTTTCCACTTCTCCAAAATTGTTGACATTTTGCTGTGTTAACAAATGTAGGTTAATGTATGCATATATATGTGTAAACTTGTGTGATATTGTGCTGACCCTTTTCAAGGAAAGTTGAAGACAAGACTATTTGTCACTATTGATCTTAGAAAGCATCTCTTTTGAATGAATATATAATCCCATATTCAATCTAAGGATGAGCACAGTTGTTTGCTCAGGTCAATATATATCTAGTTCTTATTCATACTCCCTATAGTTCTCATATTTCCTGTTGTTTTCTAAAAATGTCTTGAGTACACAAATTTCCTAATCAGAGTACAATTATGGATCACCCATAGTTTTTTATTTTTATATCTGTACAACTCTTTTAACCTAGAATTATTAACAATCTTTTCTTCCCCATTGTACACAGAGTCTGTCAAATATTGTGTACTTCTCAGATTGCTATATTCCAATGGTAGATAATGTGTTTCTCTATTCCAACTATCTATCAATTGGAAGTTGGGATGTTAAGGCTTTATTATTTTAAAGTTAAACTTTGCCAACAAGAAAATGTCTTTAGTATGCTGCCTCTCAAATTGTATTCTAATTGGAAATGAGTAATATTGTCCCATTGTTAGTGATATTGGTTATTACTACTTGGCTAGGCTAGTGATAGCCTGATATGTTTTCTGTAAACACATCTTCTACCCAATATCAATTACTAGTAATTTGTTGAGTGATAATTTTCAGGAAAAGAAGCTACATTCCATAGTAATTTTCATGTTGTTTTGTAGCTATTAATAATTTTTGTCAATTAGTTATTCCACTGGAATTTGTAAATAGATATTTTCATTTGTAATGGTTATTTTTACTAATCAAACCTGAACATTTATAGTAAAAAGAAAATCAGACTTCAAATACAGATAAATTATAATTATTCTTGTGAAGCTGGGTAAACCTTAATACTTTGCGAACATTCTTAGAAAGGACCTACTATAAGGATTACTATTAGCAGGGACAAATATTCTTTCTCTGCCTCTATCTTTTTGTTTAATCATTGCTATCAACTCACAAATTTTTATTTACTATAGTTATTAGAATTAATTTTATTCATTATTCCTTTTTTTAACATTTTTATTTATTTATTTATTTATGTATTTATTTTTTGAAAGGTAGAGTTACAGACAATGAGAGGAAGAGACAGAGAGAGAGGTCTTCTCTCTGCTGGTTCTCTCCCCAAATGGCTGCAATGGCCAGAGCTACACTGATCTGAATCCAGGAGTCAGGTGTTTCTTCCTGGTCTCCCACGTGGGTGCAGGGGCCCAAACACTTGGGCCATCTTCTACTGCTTTCCCAGGCCATTGCAGAGAGCTGGATTGGCAGGGGATCAGCCAGGACCAGAACCTGGACGCCCACACAGGATGCCTGCACCACAGGCGGAGGATTAACCTACTGAGCCAGGGTGCCAGCCCCCATTATTCCTTTTGTTGCAGAGATCTATCTGGTAGTCAGCAATGAGCTTTCTGCAAAACAGGTTCTTTTGTCATTCTGACTTGCCCTCATGAGCCTTTGACAAAGTGCTTGCTTTTTGACAAAATTTGAAATGCAAAGCTCATAGACTTCATTCTTCATCCAAGATCTAATCATATCTCCATATAGTTGAAAATGGTATTTAGCAAAATCAATCCCATCTATAGGATTGCATCTTGTTATTTTTTATTTTTATTTTTAGACCTTTCAGAAGACAGATTTTAAATTTATTATTTTTATATTTTGTTATTTGATGTTGACATTTTCAGTTTAAATTTCAAGCTATGCAACTTTTTAAAATTCAGCTCTTTTACTTTTCACATTTGTCTTTCATATTGACACTAGTATTCCTGTAATCTGATTTTTTCTATCTTGTCCAACTACAGGTGGAATGTCATCCTTATCTCAACCAGAGCAAAATGTTGAATTTCTGCAAATCAAATAATATAGCTCTTGTGGCCTATTTTGCTTTGGGAGCCCAACGAGATACATGGTAAAGAGGACTAATACAAGCTTCCCTAAAGCTCCATTATTCACACCATACTTGGGTTACTGGAGTTAATTTTCCTTAGTTCAGGGAAAGGAAAAAAATTGCATGATACATATGCTGCTAGTCCAGGACCACATTTGAGAAGTTGGACACTGTATTCTGTGTTCAAAGCCTCCTAACACAGTGAATGCTCAGCTTCATGAGTCTGGCATTCTGGTTTTCCTTCCAGGATGGACCAGAGTGCTCCAGTTCTTCTGGAAGATCCAGTTCTTTGTGCCTTGGCAAAAAAGTATAAGCGATCTCCAGCCCAGATTGCCCTTCGCTACCAGCTACAGCGTGGAGTTGTTGTCTTGGCCAAGAGTTTCAACGAGAAGCGAATCAAAGAGAACATTCAGGTGATGAGAGGGGCTGTGGGCATCAGGGCTCCTGCAGTCTCCTAAACGTGTGCTTCTTTGCAGGTTCTCGGCTATCTTTCTTTAAGTTGATATCCCTATTGTTTCTTTTGCCTGTAAGATTTGTGTCTGTCTATTTGTAAGCATTTTCTCTACTCCACAGCTGGAAAGCTACCATGGCTGGATAGAATTAGGATGGGAGAGAAAACAGACATTTGGATTTCAGCATTAAATTGGCTCTGCAGCCCTGTGGAAGCTACATCTCCTTACGTCATTTTCTGAAATGGGGCAGTTGGATTGGATGATTTTCTGCCTGTAAATACCTATGGTTTTACTTTGGATTTCTTTAAATACTCATATAGTTGAATGTCTATATATTTATTCAGTTCACTCTTCCATTTTGTAAAATGCCTATTCAGATATTTTTCCTTTTTTATCTGAGATTGTCCACCTTTTTATGTATTTATTTATTTGAAAGGTAGAGTTACAGACAATGAGAGGGAGATACATGGAGAAAGGTCTTCCTTCTGTTGGTTCACTCTCCAAATGGCTGCAATGACCGGAGCTGCGCCGATCTGAAGCCAGGAGCCAGGTGCCTCTTCCAGGTCTCCCATTCAGGTGCAGAGGCCCAAGGACTTGAGCCATCTTCTACTGCTTTCCCAGACCATAGCAGAGAGCTGGATTGGAAGAGGAGCAGCCGGGACTAGAACTGGTGTCTATATGGGATGCTGGCGCCACAGGTGGAGGATTAACCTACAGTGCCACGGTGCCGGCCTCTGTCTATTTTTTAAAAAGATTTATTTATTTATTTATAAGGCAGAGGGAGAATCAGAAAGGGAAAAAATGGGCAGAGAGAGAGAGAGAGAGAGAGAGAGAGAGAGAGAGATCTTCCATCACTGCAATGCTTCCAAATAGCTGCAATGGCCTAGTCTCTGCCAGGCTTAAGTCAGGAGCCAGGAACTACATACAGACCTCACACGTAGGTGATAGGGACTCAAGTATTTGGGCCATTTTCAGCTGCCTCTGCAGGTTTGTTAATAGGAAGCTTGATTGGAAGTGAAGCAACTGGGACTCAAATTTGCACTCTGATAATGGGAAGTGGTTGTCACAGGTGGTAGTATAACATGCTTGTCCACAAAACTTGCCTCTTGTGTTTGTCTTTTTATTTGTGTATTGGATACCATTATGGAATCATTACTCATAGCTGTGTATCAAATCATCCACAACACTGAGGTTTAATGACAAGATGATTTATTAAGTTTATAATTGACAATTGCCTAGTACTCAGCTGGATTTTTTTTTTTTGTTGCTTTTCTGTCATGTACTTGCAGTCAATGTTTATGCATGCAGGATAATGAGGCAGTTCAACTCCAAGATATTGATTGATCTGTTGTCTCAGGTACCTCAGCTTTGCTCCATGTAGATTTTTATTCTGCAGCCAGTACTTCAGGCTTTACCTCATAATGTGACACAACCTCACATCATAGAGAATACTTGCAAAGCGTTCTCATATATAGATTCAGAACTAACATACTACTGCTTCTGCCAAATTCTATCAGCCAATGCAAGTTGTGGACTGAAACAGACTTAACAGACATGGAAACAGATGTAATCTCTTATTGCAGTGAAGTTCCAATTCACATAACAAAGAGTGTGGAGACAGGGAGAAGTGAAATGTTGATAGGCATTTTGATAATCAATCTACCACATGTTTATATTCTGAATATATAACATTTTTAAATTCATAAATATTTACTAAAATATGGCTCCCAAATTGTAAGCTATTCTTTCTTCCTCTTTATGGCATATTTTCATGAATAATAGTCCCTACACTCAAAGCCATTACATTTTCATGCCTTTTGTTTGTGGTTGATGAATATCATGTCTTTTCCTATATTGAAAACAAGTAATCTACTGCATTATCTAATAAAACTATTAGTCTTGCCTTCCAAATTTGGTTTTTATTTCAACCAAGAGTCTCTATTAGTCTATGAGATAGGAATTCAATGTAAATATGTGAATTTATATTTTTAAATGGACAACAAAACGTCTAGTTATTAAGTACACTTCTGGCCTTTTTACTTTCTTCAAATGAATTATTTACCTTTCCATACTGTCTTAATTATGTTCAAAATGAGAGTTCATGTCTAGAATGATAAGATTTTCCTAACTCCTCTTATTTTTATTGTTAAATATTTTTATCAAAAGATAGAGAAAGAGAGAGAGAGAAAAAGAGAGTGAGAAATCCCCCATTCACTTGTTCACTCCCTAAATGCACAACATCTGGGCTGGGCCAGGCTGAGTTCAGGAGTCAGAAGCACAATGCACATCTCCCACATGAGTTGTAGGATTTGCCTACTTGAGTCATTATCTGCTTTTTCCTCACATGTGCCATTAGCAAGAAGCTGGAAAAGGGTGCAGTACTAGGATTTGAACGCAGGCTAATTTCCACCTCTGTAACTCCTCCTAGATAAAAATGTCATGGTTACTGTTGACTATTCTGTTGTATAAAATTTGGAATCATCTTACAAATTCCATAAAAGAGTAAGTTTATTTTAAGGTTTATTTGTTTATTTGAAAGGCAAAGTTACAGAGAGGCAGAGAGAGAGAGAGAGAGAGAGAGAGAGAGGTTTTCCAACCTCTGGTTCATTCCTTAAATGGCCACAACAGCCAGAGCGGGGCTGATCCGCAACCAGGAGCCTGGAGCGTCTTCTGAGTCTTGCACATGGATGCAGGGGCCCAGGGACTTGGGCCATCATCCATTTCTTTCCCAGGCACATTAGCAGGGAGCTGGATTGAAAGTGAAGAATCTGGAACAAAAACCAATGCCTGTATGGAATGCCAGCACTGAAGGCAGTGACTTTACTCATTAGGCCATAGTGCCAGCCCCTAGAGTAAGTTTTTAAGTGTTTGAGATTGCACCAAAACTCACAGCAAATTTGTAGAGAACTTTTTTTTAAAGAATTATTTATTTATTTAGAAAGTCAGAGTTACATAGAGAGAAAGGGAGAAGTAGAGAGAGAGAGAGATTCCCATATACTGGTTCACTCCCCAGGTGGCCACAATGGCCAACGCTGGGCAGGCTGAAGCCAGAAGCCAGGATTCAGGAGCCTCTTTCTGGTCTCCCACATGGGTGTCACAGGCCCAGACACTTGGGCTATCTTCCACTACTTTTCCCAGCTGGATTGGGAGTGGAGTTGCTGAGACATGAACCAACACCCATATAGGATGCCAGCATTGCAGGTAGCAGTTTTTTTTTTTTTTCCAAAAAACCTTTCATTTAAGGAATACAAACTTCATATATTTCATAATTACAACTTAAGGAACATAGTGATTCTTCCCGCTGTACCTCCCTCCCACCCACTCTCCCACCTCTCTTCCTTTTCCCTCTCCTATTTCCATTCTTATTTTTTACTAAGATCTATTTTCAGTTAACTTTATGCACATGATTAAATCAATGTTAAGTAAAGAGTTCAACAAATAGCATAAAAAATATTTCTCAACAGATGAGACAAGAGCTGTTCAAAGTCTTTGCTTCTCAAAGTGTCAATTTCATGACTATAGATTGCATTTTAGGTTCTTTACAAGTTATCACAGGCCAGGGAGAACATATGTTATTTGTCCTTTGGGAAAGGCAGTAGTTTTCTGTGCTACGCTGCAATACCACCTCTGAGAACTGACTTTTTTTTTTAAGATTTTTTATTTATTTATTTGAGAGGTAGAGCTGCAGACAGTGAGAGGGAAAGACAGAGAGAAAGGTCTTCTGTTCACTGGTTCACTCCCCAAATGGCCGCAACAGCTAGAGCTGCACTGATCCAAAACCAGGAACCAGGAGCTTCTTCCCAGTCTCCCACATGGGTGCAAGGGCCCAAGGACTTGGGCCATCTTCCCCTGCTTTCCCAGGCCATAGCAGAGATCTGGTTGGGAAGAGGAGCAGCCGGGACTAGAACTGGTGCCCATATGGGATGCTAGCGCTGCAGGTGAAGGATTAACCTACTGCGCCATAGCACCGGCCCCTGACTTCTTGATAATATTAGGATTTCTTTTTGCCCTTTTTTTTTAAATATTTATTTATTTTGAAAGTCGTGCTTACAGAGAGCGAGGGAGAGACAGAGGAAGAAATCTTCCATCCACTGTTTCACTTGCCAGATGGCCACAATGGCCGGGGCTGGCCAGCCCCAAGCCAGGACTCAGAAGTCTCATCTGGCTCTGCCCCGAGTGTGGCAAGGAACCAAACACTTGGGCCATCTTTGCTGCTTTTCTCAGTATGTTAACAGGAAGCTGGATCCGAATGGAGCATCTAGGGCCTGAACTGGTACCCATGTGGGATGCTGGTGTTACAGGCAGTGATTTTACCTCCTCCTCCACAACGTCAGCCCTTAATATTGGGATTTCTAACCCCTGATCATAAAATGATTTTCCAATTATTTAGATGGTGTTTTAACATATTTCGATAAACTTATTTTCCATATTTATTCATAGAAAATGATAATTTTGTTAATCTCTGATAACTTTTCCTTTTTGTTCTGAGAATGTAAAACTATATAGACAGGTCCAAAGAATAATTTGCTGATATGTTTTACTTAGATTCATCAAATGTTCAATTTTTTTCAACTTTTATTTAATAAATATAAATTTCCATAGTACAACTTTTGAATTATAGCAGCTTTTTCCCCCATAACCTCCCTCCCACCTGCAACCACCCCATCTCCCTCTCCCTCTCCCATCCCATTCTTCATCAAGTGTTAAATTTCTCAATTCTCCCTCCCTCATTATTATGGACTTGTGGTCAGTTTGGCATAGTGTATTTATCACCAATTAGTGATAATCTCTTGATGTCTAATGTGTCCCTAATATAAGCAGTAAAAGCTTCAAGCAAGTTCCTGTTTCTTCCTTAACATGACATGATTGGTGTTTTGACAATTTCTATTTTAAATTAAGTTGATACATACGTCATATAAGTTGTTCAATGTTGGAATATGAAAATCTAACTATATCCATTCAAGTTGTTAAATTACACATTTCAAAAATTTGTCTCTGGATTCTTCTGAATTCTCTAAGTACATGAGGCTATCATGTTTGAATATTGTCACCTATGTTCTTCTCAAGCTTCTTTTGAGGTCTCCTTTATTATTATTTTTCACCTCATTTTCACTAACAACTTAACTGCTTTGCTTGATGTCTTTAATAACTTCTGGAAATTTTTCAGAGATTTTGAATATTGCCTCTGTATCATTCAGTGTGTTTCACTTGAAATTTCTAGAATGATAAATATTAATTCTAAACATAATGGAAAATTTCTACTTCTATAATAGGTTTTTGATTTCCAGTTGACTTCAGAGGACATGAAAACCATAGATGGCCTAAACAGAAATTTGCGATACAATGCTGGTTCTTAGTAAGTAACTTAGTGCACACGTTATCTTACTTTATTTTCTAAAGAGGAGAATGGAAAGGGTATTAAAAGTTACTTCTATGTCAGAAAGACAGGGGCTATTTTGAGTCAAGAATGAGGCAGGTGCTTTCTGGATTTGTCCCAGATTCTCTCCAGAGCTCTGCTCGCTGTTATAGCAAGTTGATGAGTAGCCTAGGGTCTATGTGGGTTTCTACATATTTGCCTCAGGATTTCTCACTCTGTGAGAAATATCTTTCTAGGCAATATCATTACAAAATCTATACTTTTATGGGGCTCTTTCATAGCTACGAATAACTAGTTGTTATATAACTGTATGTATTGCCAATGTAGCTTAATTAAAGGCTTCTAAAAGGGAGTTTGCATTCTCTTCTTCTCCCAAATTTGTGAATTGTTTATCAAGTTAAAGTTATCTTCATCAATCCTGAGTTCCATACCATAAATTCCATATGAGATCATGCATTAGATCTCATAAATTTAATATATTTAATGTTTAATTTCAAATTTCTCCCTTCTTTTTCCCTGTTTCATTGTTCAGGACATAAATAAAATTCTTGCCTATAGAAAGGCTGACCTTCATAAGGTTAACATATCTTTTGTTTTTGATGTTTGGAAATATGGAAAACTCAACTGAAAGGATGAAGTTTTAGAGGAGAAAGATTTAAAAGCAAGGACAGAATTTGAAGAAAGGCTCCATTGCTGGAGATAATTACAGTGAACCAAAAGATCTTTATTCTTTCTTCATGCTCTGCTTCTAAGATTATAGAATATGAGAAAGGGCATATAAATGAGAGTAAACAAAGAATATATATTCTTCTGCCTGTGGGAATTTGAATTCACAATAGACATAAATCTGAAAATATGATGATGTATGCAAAGAGATTAGCAAAATTCATACTTGTATGTGCTCAAAATTGGTAGAGATGATGTTTTCATTGTTAATATTTTTATTAGTATAGAGAAAATGAATAATAAAATCAGGACAAAATGCAAAGATAGAGAATGTGGTAAGTAATGAGTAATTCTTACTATCAAATATATTAACAATAACTATTTTTATAATTTTATATTTTATTTATGGCTTAAGTTTATAGATCTTCATATTATGTAGTTAACATGGTCATGGGACTCTGTCTTATAAACGTTATTCTTCTTGTTTCTGAAAATAACACTGCATGGTGAGTGTGATGGATAGTACATAAAGAAATGATGAAGTAAGCAGGAAGTGAAATTGCTAGTCATAACCTGTATACTTTTTTTTTTTTTTGACAGGCAGAGTGGATAGTGAGAGAGACAGACAGAGAGAAAGGTCTTCCTTTGCCGTTGGTTCACCCTCCAATGGCCACCACAGCTGGTGCGCTGTGGCTGGCGTACCGCGCTGATCCTAAGGAAGGAGCCAGGTGCTTCTCCTGGTCTCCCATGGGGTTCAGGGCCCAAGCACTTGGGCCATCCTCCACTGCCTTCCCAGGCCACAGCAGAGAGCTGGCCTGGAAGAGGGGCAACCGGGACGGAATCTGGAGCCCCGACCGGGACTAGAACCCGGTGTGCCGGCGCCGCTAGGTGGAGGATTAGCCTATTGAGCCGCGGCGCCGGCGTAACCTGTATACTTTTTCATACTTTTCACTATTGGTGAATATCTGAATGACATTGTTCCATACCAGGAAGAATCAGTTTCTGTTTATATTGAGAATTTGAAGTAAAATAGAATGGAATATTGCTTTGTTTTGCTGACAAATGTAGGTAAGGGAAAGGAACATTCAAGTTTTACATTGTCCTCCATATTAAGTTCCAGAAAGGGAGTTTAATTTAATGATTTTAGTAAACATTTATTATAAAGTCGTGTTCACGGAAGTAAGGAAGGCAGATTGTATAATAAGGAAATTAAAAAAAAAACTTTCATTTTAATGGCAGTTCCATAGAAATCATTTCTTCCCTACATGTGGCATCATTAGCTCATATTATTCATTTTATTTTTCCTTTTAGTTTTGATGGACACCCAAACCATCCATTTTCTGATGAATATTAACCTGGAAGTGTTCATCCTGACTTTGACCAGGAGCCCTTGGGTGTGAATCATAACATGGGAGATGTCTCAGATGCTGGTGATTGGACACATAATTTCCAGTTAATCTATGCTGCCTAGCAACTCAAATTCATATATTCATAGGCAAGAAGAAAAACCACTAAATTTTAGTCACTCTCTGAAATATAAAATAATATTGTTTTCTGTAAAGAATCTTACCTAGTGTTGACTCTGATAATTGTGTTTCTTTCTTACTCATCAGGGACAAACTCAATTTTCCCAGAAGTTTGGGAGAAAGGGGAAGGAGATAATAACAGCCATTTGATGGCATTTCTGGGTTGGGAGTAGGTATAGGTGTCAGCCGGTAGGGAAGTAGCAGTAAGCAGACATTTTTTTAGTCAGTTTCTCTAGTCCTTTGAGGAATTTGAAAACTCATTGCATAGAGCCTGAGAGGTGAGACAATGTTGCAGGGATGGCCAACAGTCCGTTTTCTCCCACATCTCAAGAATCAGAGCTTCAGAAACCTTGGGAATTAGGTATCCTTATGGGAGGGTTGGCAGAAGAAGTTGGGAGGGAACTATCCTGGAAGGATGGTCAAGAGTCAAATATGGAGGAGGTACAGGAGGATGGAGTTGAGTACCTCTATCCTTAGGAAATGTTGGGAACTGCTCTTTGGACAATTATGTCCTGCATATAAAGGGAGTTTTCCAAATACCTGATCTAAATGTCAGAGTTGAAGGTTGCACCTACTTCATTTATGTGTTTCCAGGAAATAGTAGAGATCTTAGATTGTAGTAGGGCAGCATACTAATGTGATTTGGATTATTATAATGAAATATCAGAAATGAGATAACTTCATAAAGCAGAGAGGTTTATTTAGCTCACAGTTCTAGAAGTTCAAATGCCAGATATTCAATTTTAGTTTACAATTGATCATAATGATAGGTCTAAGAATCAAAGAGATCACATAAACAAGACTAGTGTCTGCTAATAATATCTGATAGAATCAAGGAGAGAACGATCCAACATGGGAAGTGGGATACACAGCAGACTCATAGAATAGCAGATACCCTAAACAGCACTCTGGCCTCAGAATCAGTCCTTAAGGCATTTGGACCTGGCTGAAGAGCCCATGAGAATATTTTAGGCATGAAAAGCCAAGACACTCTGGGGAAAAAAAAAATGACCTAAATGAAAGATCTCTGCAAGTGAGATCCCAGTGGAAAGAATGGGCCATCAAAGAAAGAGGTAACTTTCTCTGAAGGGAGGAGAGAACTTTCACTTTGACTATGACCTTGTCTAAATATGATCAGAGTCGGTGAACTCAAAAGGCTTCCATAGCGTTGGCAACTCATGACAAGAGCCTAGGGTGATTACGGACGCCATAAACAAGAGTGTCAATTTGCTAAGTCAACAACAGGAGTCACTGTGTACTTACTTCTCATGTAGGATCTCTGTCCTTAATGTGTTGTTCAATGTGAATTAATGCTATAACGAGTACTCAAACAGTATTTTTCACTTTGTGTTTCGGTGTGGGTGCAAACTGTTGAAATCTTTACTTAATTTAAACTAAATTGATCTTCTGTGTATAAAGATAATTGAAAATGAATCTTGATGTGAATGGAAGGGGAGAGGGAGCGGGAGATGGGAGAGATGCAGGTGAAGGGAGGTTTTTTGGGGGGGGAGCCATTGTAATCCATAAACTGTACTTCAGAAATTTATATTTATTAAATAAAAGTTAATAAAAAACCAAATACCAGATATTGTGATGGCCTTCTTGTTATATCACAAGGTAAGAGATAGAGAATAATCATGTAAATTTGGTTTCTCTTTCTTACACAGCCATGAATATTCAATAACTGGGGCTCTGTCTTAATTATTTTTGTTAATCCAAATCACCTACCAAGGCCTCATCTTTAAACACCATACTTGGATTAAATTTCCATCCTCATATTACTTCACAATGGTGATTAAATTTTAACATATCAACCTTTGGGAAACTAAAACTCTGTCCACACCATAGCAGGTAGGAAACCAAAGAAACAATGGATTAATAAAGTTTATCTTAATATCAACTCCAGATTTATCAAATTTTGTTGTGTTTAAAAATGAATTTGGCACTGTGGCATAACGGTAAAGTTACTGACTGCAGTGCTGGCATCCCATATGGGCTCTGGTTCGAGTCCTGGCTGCTCTGCTTCCAATCCAGCTCTTTGCTATGGCCTGGGATAGCAGTAGAGGATGGCCCAAATCCTGAGACCTCTGCACTTGTGTGGGAGACCTGGAAGAAGCTCCTGGCTCCTGGCTTTGGATCGTCACAGCTCTGGCTGTTGGGGCCAATTGGGGAGTGAACCAACAGATGGAAGACCTGTCTCTCTCTCTGCCTCTCCTTCTCTCTCTGTGTAACTCTGAGTTTCAAATAAATAAATAAATCTTTAAAAAATGAATTCGAATTTTTTAAATCTGATAATACCTTCAAGTGTCTCAAACACAAAACCAGGCAGCACAAGAAGACCCTAAATCCATTAAATATTTGTGTTAATAATAAAATTGTTAGCAAAACATTGAATCAGTCAATTTTTCCAATATCTTTTCAAAGCAGAATATTGGAAATGGAATTTGGCCTGTTGATTTAGACACAGTTTAAATCCTTGTATCCCATATCAGTATGATTCCTTTGAGTTAGATTCTTGGCTCTGGCTCCTGATTTTGGCTTCCTGGAAATGCAGAGCTTGGGAGGCAACAGGTGATGACTCAGTGGTTGGATCCCTCCACCATGTGTTGCAGACCCAGATTGAGTTCTCAGCTCCTTGCTTCAGTATAGCTGAGTTGTGGCCACTGCAGATACTTAGGAAGTGAACCACCAACAGGAGCCCTATCTGGCTATCAGTCTGTCCATCTGGCTCTTTAATTTAAAAAAGCGTATTTAAAATAGCATTAGATTTTCAAAAAAAAGAATCAATATCATCAAAATGTCCATTCTCCTAAAAGCAATTTATACATTCAATGCAATACCAATCAAAATACTGAAGACATTCTTCTCAGATCTGGAAAAAATGATGCTAAAATTCATATGGAGACATGGGAGACCTCGAATAGCTAACGCAATCCTGTACAACAAAAACAAAGCCGGAGGCATCACAATACCAGATTTCAGGACACACTACAGGGCAGTTGTTATCAAAACAGCATGGTACTGGTACAGAAACAGATGGATAGACCAATGGAACAGAACAGAAACACCAGAAATCAATCCAAACATCTACAGCCAACTTATATTTGATCAAGGATCTAAAGCCAATCCCTGGAGTAAGGACAGTCTATTCAATAAATGGTGCTGGGAAAACTGGATTTCCACATGCAGAATCATGAAGTAAGACCCCTACCTTTCACCTTACACAAAAATCCACTCAACATGGATTAAAGACTTAAATCTACGACCTGACACCATCAAATTATTAGAGAGCATTGGAGAATGCCTTAAGGGCTGATTCTGAGGCCAGAGTGCTATTTAGTACATCTGCCATTCTATGAGTCTTCTGTGTATCCCGCTTCTCATGATGGATCATTCTCTCCCTTTTTGATTCTATCAACTAGTATTAGCAGACACTAGACTTGTTTGTGTGATCCCTTTGATGCTTAGACCTATCAGTGTGATCAATTGTGAACAGAAATTGATCACTTGGACAAGTGAGATGGCATTGGTACATGCCACCTTGATGGGATTGTATTGGAATCCCCTGGCTCGTTTCTAACTCCACCATTTGGGGCAAGCCCGACTGAGCATGTCCCAAATTGTACATCTCCTCCCTCTCTTATTCCCACTCTTATATTTAACAGGGATCACTTTTCAGTTAAAATTTAAACACCTAAGAATAATTGTGTGTTAATCACAGAGTTCAACCAATAGTATTAGAACAAAACAAAGAAAAAATACTAAAATGGATAAAGTATTACATTGTACATCAACCATCAGGACAAGAGCTGATAAAGTCACTGTTTATCATAGTGTCCATTTCACTTCAACAGATTTCCCCTTTGGTGCTCAGTTAGTTGTTGCCGATCAGGGAGAACATATGATATTTGTCCCTTTGGGACTGGCTTAATTCACTCAGCATAATGTTTTAAAGATTCCTCCATCTTGTTGCAAATGACTGGGTTTGATTGTTTTTGACTGTTGTATAGTATTCTATAGAGTACATGTCCCATAATTTCTTTATCCAGTCTACTGTTGATGGGCATTTGGGTTGGTTCCAGCTCTTAGCTATTGTAAAATTGAGCTGCAATAAACATTAAGGTGAGACAGCTTGTTTGTTTGGCAATTTCATTTCCTTTGGGTAAATTCCAAGGAGTGGGATGGCTGGGTTGAATGGTAGGGTTATCTTCAGGTTTCTGAGGAATCTCCAGACTGACTTCCATAGTGGCTTAACCAGTTTGCATTCCCACCAACAGTGGGTTAGTGTCCCTTTTTCCCCACATCCTCTCCAGCATTTGTTGTTGGTAGATTTCTGAATGTGAGCCATTCTAACTGGGGTGAGGTGAAACCTCATTGTGGTTTTGATTTGCATTGCCCTGATTGCTAGTGATCTTGAACATTTTTTCATGTGTCTGTTGGCCATTTGGATTTCCTCTTTTGAAAAATGTCTATTGAGGTCCTTGGCCCATCTCTTAAGTGGGTTGTTTGTTTTGATGTTGTGGAGTTTCTTGATTTCTTTGTAGATTCTGGTTACTAACCCTTTATCAGTTGCATAGTTTGCAAATATTTTTTCCCATTCTGTCGGTTGCCTCTTCACTCTTCTGACTGTTTCTTTTGCAGTACAGAAACTTCTCAATTTGATGCAATCCCAAATGTTTATTTTGGCTTTGACTGCCTGTGCCTCCAGGGTCTTTTCTAGGAAGTCTTTACCGGTACCTATATCTTGCAGGGTTTCTCCAATGCTCTCTAATAATTTGATGGTGTTGGGTCATAGATTTAAGTCTTTAATCCATGTTGAGTGAATTTTTGTGTAAGGTGAAAGGTAGGGGTCTTGCTTCATGATTCTGCACGTGGAAATCAAATTTTCCCAGCACCATTTATTGAATAGACTGTCCTTACTCCAGGGATTGGTTTTAGATCCTTGATCAAATATAAGTTGTCTGGAGATGTTTGGATTGATTTCTAGATTTTCAAAACTTAATAACCTTAAAAACATTTTTAAACTGGATGTAGAGTTATTTTGAGTGCTTTTTAGGAATACAATTTTAATGTTATTCAGCTAATCACAAGGAAGAAAATTTTCATTTCAGATTACTCTCTTCAAAAGTTGAGACAGTATTATAGGCTGCTAAGCAAAGAACTTGAAGACTGATAGCTGTTTAGGTATATTATACAACATTTAAACCTACAATTGTTTTTATTCTTTTTTAAAAAATTTATTGATTTATTTAAAACTCAGAGTTACACACACACACAGAAGAGAGAAAGAGAGAGAGAGAGAGAGAGAGAGAGAGAGAGAGAGGTCTTCCATTGGCTGTTTCACTCCCCAGTTGGCCGCAATGGCCATAGCTGGGCCAATCCAAAGCCAGGATCCAGGAGCTTCTTCCAGGTCTCCCACATGGGTACAGGGGCCCAAAGACTTGGGCCATGTTCCACTGCTTTCCTAGGCCATAGCAGAGAGATAAGAAGCGGAGCAGCCAGGGCTCAAACTGGTGCCCGTATGAGATGCTGGCACTGCAGGTGGCAGCTTTACCTGCTATGCCACATCACAAGCCCCTATTTTCATTCTTGTGACTACATTTATCCCATCGAAGAGGGTTTCTCAAGCTATGCCATTCAGCAGAGACTTATTTTGTTACCATACCAAAACGGCTAATGCTCTAGATGTGTATTTAGTCAGAATTGTCAGAATTAGGTATGTGTAAGTTTCCTGATATGGTCACAAATTACCACATACTTCTTGGATAGAAACATTACAAATTTATTTTCTTACCACTCTGGAGGTCAGAAGTCCAATATCAGATTCAATCATCTAAAATGAAGGTGTGGGCAGGTTTGCACTTCTTATTGAAGTTCTAGGAGAAAATCTATTTTTTCCCTTTCCAGCTTCTAGAGGAGGCACACCTAGGCTCAAGACCCCTCTCTTCTTCTCTAATATCAGGTACAGAGGATCTTTGGATCTCTGACCATTCTATCTCAAAAGAGATTATTCATATATTTGAACTCCCTAACACCACACAAAGTGATAATACACCAGCCTTAATGTCAGGAGTCACCGAATAGTTGAGTCAACCTCTACAGATCACCTGGGAACTTCGTGCATCTTGGAGGCTGAAGCCCATGGGAAAGAAAGAAAAGATGAAAAGATGAATGATACCTTGAAAAAACATTTGAGCTATGACAGTCAGGAGGCTCATCTAAGATGGCACAATGTTTTGCCTGTTGCCTTGCAATAGGCATCCCAAAGCAGGCTTAGATTGAATCCTTTTGAAATAATATATGGGGGACTTTTTCAGTCCTCTGTGTTAGGGGACCTTCTGCTAGATTTATAAATTGAAATGAGAGCCCAATACTGTTTATATAAAGTAGTAGAATAAATATTAACTTCTTTGCATAAGTTTGCCCTTTCCACATTCACTCACCTGACAGATGAGTTACTCAACTCTTTCCAGTTCAGAGATAAGGTGCTGATAAAGACCTAAAGAAACCACGGACCTGACCAGCAATTGAGTGAGAAGTGGACTGGACCACGTGAGATGTTCCTAACTCCCCCACACT